TCGAACGGGCGGATCGCGGAAGGCTGCGAAAAGGTCAATGGCATATTGATGTTGTGCCGTGGCCAGAGGGTTCTACTCGCTTCTCCCGAATTTAGCGGCCTACAACCCGGACTTAGGAACAATACCTAGGTGGTTCCGATTGGTGTCTCGATTATTCACGTCACTAGTCTAATTACCTAGGTAGACTTAGTCCTCAACTGAAATCGCCAAGTTAACAAAGCGGTTAGAACTTGCAAGTAGCTGATATGTGGGCAGAGTGGGATATCTTAGGTACGTTGAACCCCATCTATCCCACCAGGTGTGTGGGATGGATGGGGAATCAACTAGGCCAAGACGAGTCACAACCTTGCTTAAAAGAATCAGCTATAACAAGATGGGCCCTTGTAAACTCGTAGTTGTCGGATATGAGCGGTCTATGCACTTGTGGTTACCTTGAGCCATCAGGCCGGCAGTCACGTTGAAGTATTCAGCCAAGAACGCGGCGTATGAGAACCCCATTGGCTAGCTCGATGAATTTTGGCCCAAAGTAGTAGGCAGCACAGTGTAACAGATATACCGACTGCCGTTCAGGGTCGTGTTGACTTCAATGATGCTCTAGTCTATAGGCCCCCTCAGTCGTAAGTGCCGAACTTCTGCTCGCCTATAAGTACCGAAGCTCCACGGATATTTGGTGCCAAGGTAGTACAGGTTTCATCCTAGATGCCTAGTCGCACCAGTTAGAGTACCTTGAAGACACACAAGAATCGAGAAACCACTAGACACAGGCGTGCGACATTGATGTATTTAAAGTCCTGTGCCTCATAATCTGGCTTTCTTGTTCCTGTTCCTGTGTGTGCTTCGCTAGAAAGCTCTGTTAGAAATTGTTGAATTCTGTGCGGGGGTATGATAACCCGTAAATCAGAACGGCTTAAACGCTGATAGTCAACGAATGCGGAGATTACGCAGTTGATGATACATAAAGCAAGTGTTGAAGAGTGATTTTGAATGCCCTTGAAACGCCATATGCCATCTCTTCTTGGAGGCGTTCAGCCCATGGAGACTCTAATGTTAAATGCATTTACCCTCGCGTTCTCAGTGGTGAGCTTGATGTTGAGATCCCCCGCTCTAGACCCGGAACGCCTGAAATGCACTCACCCCCTTCGCTAATCCATCGTATGCCTTGGTTGAAATTTACCTGTATCCTCTGTTTAGCCCGACCAGACTTAGAAACTCGTTCCTGGTCTTTTCCTTCTTCTCGAAGCAACCGAGCACACAGCTGGTAATAGTACTGGTCGTCGTCTTTTCGACTCCCCGCATAACCATGCAGAGATGACTGGACTCCATGACGACAGCTACTCCCTGAGGCTTCAGAACCTCCATAATGGCATTAGCAACTTCCCTCGTAAGCCGCTCCTGAACTTGGAGCCGACGGCTGAACATCTCGGCGATACGCGGCAGCTTCGATATGCCAATAACATTGTTTTTCGGAATATATCCGATGTGCATCTGAGACGGACGTCAGCATAGGGCGCAGAACCGCAGGACCAGTTCTACCCACTTTCCCAAAGAAGGGGACCAGATGATGTTCGCAGAGACTGAATATCTCGATATCTTTCACGATAACCATCTCATTGTGGTTTTCTTGGAAGATCGCATTGTTGACGATGTCTCTAACGTTCTGCTGGTATCCCCTCGTGAAGAAAAGCATAGCCTTCGCATATCTCGATGGCGTGGCCAGCACGCCTTCCCTGTCTGGGTCTTCGCCGACGCATTCCAGAATCGTCCGAACTGCGGCTTGCAATTTCTCCAGTCTCTGAGCCGCTTGCTCGGAGCTTTCTTCGAGCCGCTCCCGCGTCCCCAGGCCTGGTTTATGTGAGCAGGGGCATTCAATTGGAACGATTCGGTCACCTACTCGGTCGGCTGAGGCCATCAAAGTCTATGAAGGGACTAGGAGACCTTGTTTCCGTGCCCTCAGGCTTGGTCTTCTGCTTTTTCTTGCTCGGCTCGTCCCTAGGATCTCGCGCAGCTTTGCTTATGCTGTGTCTCTTCTTCGCCGAGCTGGTATGTCCATTGATCTCGGATATTCCGCCATCCTTCGCTCTTCTCTTCTTCTTCTTCTTACTCGATGTCCCGTCGTCCCGGTTGTCGCCGCGCGCTCGCTTCTCGCTGCCATTCGCCGAGTCGTCTATGTCAGATACCTCAATAGCCGAACTGCTAGAAGAATATAGCGCTAATGATTCCCGATCGCCCCGTCTCGTATCGGTGGGCGCCGCCATTTTGCTTTTTGTCGGACCCTGGAATCAAGTGGCGCAGGGACGTGACTCATATAGCTTCGATGTTCGCGGAGCGGAAGCAGGTCCTTGGTCTATTTGTAGGTACTGAAGATAAAGATAGAACAACCGGCTGTTGAAGGACTAACGGAGCGGAAAACCCAGCATTTATGTTCCAGTCAGCTTGACCTCTGGAAGCACAAGCGGGAAAGGCAACGGCTGCGTGCTTATGGAGGAAGGGAAAAAACAAGAATAATGGTAGGACAGTAGCAAACTAGCAAACTAAACGGCTGTAACATGCAAGTCGCCTACACTAAATGTAAGTATCCTACAAGCTCCCGATCCCCCGCGAAGCTGCTTAGCTCGTAAAATTCAATTCAAATTGCGTCTATCCGGGTGTTAGCTAACTCCTCCATTGTGTGTTATCGCGCTGATAGGATCTTTGGAAAGTCCGCGGGGGATTTGCCCCTCCGCACGAGCCTGGGCGTGCATTTATCTAATCTAGTACCCAGACAAACCAGGGCACCAGCTGTGGCTTTTGTGGCTGGTGCTCTCACTGACTGTGTTGGAGCCCGTTGGCTCAAGCTCTCCGTCATCCAAATCCAAATCCAAAAACTAAATCCAAAACCAGATCCACACTTATCGTACAGTCAACTCTTCAGCTTCTTCTGAATACAATCACTTCTCATTCATTCTAATTACCCTGCTACTCCTCAACTCTCCATTTCTCTCAACTATTAGTCACAAACTCACAAGGCCCGTCTAATTGCGATACCTTCTACGTTTCGCGTCTCGAAAGCTTACGGTCCGAGACATCTCCCTACCAACTTATTAGCCCGAGACCGTCGCGATAGCCGGGACCTCGAGTGGACATCACTAAACTAGACAGTCTAGACAAGATGGCGTCGCCTACACATGCGTACTCACCCGCGGGTTCTCCACCGTACTCTAGCGTGCCGTTGCCATCGAAGAAGCGCGGCTCCGCGATCGCTGATCTCTCTGTCCAGCCTCCCGCCATCAAGCGACGTAAGGCTTCAACCATGTCTATAGCCTCCGCGGGCTCGGCGCATCCTCTACGACAGACGTCCTTTCCACCCGACGAATCTCAGCAGAACTTTTCCCCTACTTACAACCGATCTCCTAGCGTGGACACCATGAGTCTCGTCAGCGGAAGCCAGGTGAGCGGCGCGCCCGCGAAGAAGAAACGGGGCAGGAAGTCAAAAGCAGAGCGCGCGAATGAGGCAGCCGCCGGAGCTATGCGCGATGGCACACCCAGCGTCGCTGGAGGTCGCGCGCCAACTGTGTTGAGCATCGCCAGTGGCAATAACGCCAGTAAGGACGTGGACGGGGATACCAGGAAGGAAGAAGAGTTCGAAGACCCGGAGGACATGGCTAGCATTTCTGCGGCACGAACGAAGGAACAAGCCGAATCGTTAGACCTTTTGCAAGCGTCGCTGAAGGCTCGGATGACCCCTGAACAGTTCATCCGCTACGAGGTGTGGCATCGCCAGACCTTGAGGACCTCAGACGTGAAAAGGGTAAGCCGTCGCATATTTGTCACCGATTTCGTTTGATACAACGTCGCTAACTATATATACGTAGCACATCAACATCGTCACTTCCCAGTCTTGTCCTACTAGCGTCCATCAAATGATGCAAGTGGTTTGCAAGCAGTACCTCGGAGAAATAGTCGAGGCCGCTCGTGACATTCAGCAGGAATGGATAAAATCAGGTGAGAAGCAGGTCGAAAACCCGGACGACCCGACATTCAAGCCCGAAAACGAGATGTCAAAATACCACCGACAAGCTCCTTTACGACCCGAACATCTCCGAGAAGCATATAGACGCCGAAAAGCCTCTGCCGAGTATGGCGGCGCAATGGGCAGCCTGATGGTTTGGAATCAGCAAACTCACAATGGGACCGAGAGATTTGCGGTGAGGGCTGGGGGACGCCGCGTTTTCAAATGAATTCGATTAACTCGGGAACACCGTCGGGCTGCGGTCTCGGAGGGTACTAAACTTCAGCACTTTGGAGGACGAAGAATATCGTATGATCCATGTGGCGTGGATGACTGAACTATGAAGTTATTCTATGAATTTGTTCGATTGGCTCAGTCTCTTTCAGTGCATCCGAGCTGCGGTTATACAGCGCCAAGCTGGAACGTGTAGGTCGGTATGGCTGGGCAGATCTTGAAGATCGAATTGCCGCAAACTTAGTCCACCAGAAGTGGGATGAGCAGCAACAGGGGTTGGAGAGACCTACCACACGTTGCAGGGCGCTGTATCAACTTGGGGAAACGATAATTCTTTCCGAGATGCATGTGCCACAATTGACGGCCACTTATTACTCCCTTCATAGCTCTTATGGTCAGGGCGTGGAACACTGGACGCTTTTGATGCATTTAATGTAAACAGTCAATCGCAAGGCATTGCCCTCCTCGTTGTAATAGCGACTACCTAGATAGCATCCTGATCTCAGTGCTAGAATAAAGAAAGGAGTCGGAATAAGGTGGGAATTCTCAGTAAATGGCTACCTTGTGAATGTGTTGTTGCTATTATTACCCGAATGCCTACTAGGCTTTCAAAGTAATTGATATATGGTTGAGTCGTCTAGAGCGACAATCCCTACATTACGAGTCTATTACTATTGCATGTGGTGGTGAATGGCCTCTTCCATACCTTGCGCTTTTCCGAAGCGGCACGTAACATTTTGAAGTGGTACATAGGATTAAATGACGAGCGAATCATCAAGCCCTTATAGCTCAGTGGTAGAGCGCAGCACTTGTAAGTCTCCACAAGTTCATGCTGAGGTCCATCGTTCAATCCGGTGTGGGGGCAATCGAAGTGGGCTAGTTTGACCATTTCTTTTCCTTTTTGGCGATCTGACCATCTAGTCAGAATGAAAAAATGGATGGACGAACGATAGATAATATTTCTCGTGATGTCTCTTTCATTCAGCTATTATTATCGTTCCCAAGGCATGGTGGTCGAAATCATTTCGAGCATTTCCGGATAGATTATGGTTGCGCCCGTCAATCCCTATTGCAATTCCTTGAAGACTTGCCTACCTACCTCCGAGATGGTGTAGGTCCTAACCTTAGGTCTGTAACAGCAGAGAAACTCGTATCAGCACAGAGCACCAGGCAACAGCATTAAATCCAGCTTCCACCGTGGCATCTCTCCTAGGATATCCAATTCAAAGCGGCTGATTGAACAGAACCAGTATGAAGTGGGGAGCGACACAGCCCCAAAGACACCTTGGCATGCAACATTGGTCATGATCATCGAGTTATTCTGCTGCCTAGCACACGACAAGGGGAATCTGCAAGAGCTCTTCTAATATGGCAGACCTCAAGCGAATTTCTGTCTCCAAAATGGGACGTTGAAGGTTCGATCGCACGGCAGCTGCTATGAATGCGCATCGTATCGATGCCACCCAGAGGGATGGATCTACACAATGATGGGGTCATCCACGGCCTTGAAAGGCTATTTCGCGACGGATAGAATCCTATGGCCGTCCAGCTCGCAGATCATAAGGCTTAGAATCTCGTATTCAGGATATACCTTGATAGTTGAGGTAATCAATCGCTACATGGTCTAGAAAAGAATATATACATCGATTTTTTACTTACTCACGCACGCATTCATGCCTCAGGTAGTGTTTTCAGTTCGATTGACTATCAAAGCAAAGAGGCCTAGCAACTAAACTCCGCAATGTCTTCTAGACCAGCGTCATTTGTGAAGGACTCCCATCGAGCAGTGGAGGAAGGACGGCAGTCGTGGGAATCGCCAAACCAGCCATCATGGAACAACGCGAGATTTGTGCTGCGCATCACATCATTCATTACCGCTCTCCTTCTCTTGGGACTGTCCCTTGGCGGATTCGCGGCGCCATTGGGGTTCAGCTCGTATCCCATCATGGGCACGCCGCTGGTAAGTACACACACATAACATAGCTTAGCCGTACCTCTCGCTATGGCAGGGCGTATACTAACGATTTTGCTTTTCCAGTCTGTAGCAGCGCTCTTGTATGACATTGCCGAGTTCATCGTCATGTGCGTTCGGAGGCGAAAGACGGGAATCCGACCAGCCGTGTCCCTCGGGTTCGAGCTCGTCCTCAGCGCGGGGGGCATCGCTCTCGCGACGCTCATAGTCTTTTATACTGTCGACTCCTGGCGCTTGAACATGTACTACTCTGGCGACTCGAGCGGCGACCGTTATCTTCCCGTTCCTCACTACGTCTCCAACGGAGAGGTCTGGTTTGGCATGTCCGCAGCCGCTAGTGTTCTCGCCATCTTCCTATCGTGAGTCTCACGATCCAATCTCGATCGTCGGGGCACCCCTTCCTCTGTCTAACGTTTTCGCAGGCTGATACACTTTGTCCTGTTTGTCCGCGACTGCGTGGAAGTAGACAGAGAGCGGAAGGCCGCGAAACGGGCTAGGAAGGAAAGGGTGTCGACGGGCGCAGCCCATGTCCACGTTCAGGATCCCGCGCCTGATGTCCCTGCTCCCTCGTACGAGACCGTCGAGCTCGATACCTACGACGATTTCACGAAGTCCGACTTAGTAAGGCTATCAGAAGAAATGACGCTGTCCAGGATCATCAGCTAACATTACTGCATAACGCAGAAACGACAGAGCCAAAAGTCCTGAGGCAGGACGTGGTGACGAAGCCATGATATATTACGGAGACGTGCCCTTGAATCGAAGTTTGATGATACTGAGATTTTCATCTATGAAACCCCGTAATACAAGATTGGAACGTCTATTACAGAGGATTTGTCCCCAATAGGGCTTACGGAACGATGTAAGGGTTACGATAATCTGATTTTGGACAGGGTTTGGAGAAAATAAATAAAACATTATCTAGAAGCTTTTTCTGTGCTTCAACCAAATAGTGAAATGCAATAATACCTATCACCTCAAATCAAATAAAGACGATAATAGCGTGGTCGTATAACACGCTACATTAACCTAGGTAGTTTCGTGTAGCAACTCATAACAGTGAAACGCGATGACTTCGCAGCGAAGCATGATATTTCCATCCCGACCGACTTCACTTCACATTTAAAACAGTATGGATTCGCACAATTAGAGTACTGCGGAATACAATCAATATATTATTGTCAAGGGCGTGTTTGGTTCGTTGAGCCCAGCCAATTCACGATCTGCTTAGTCATCAAAGGGGTCGGTCACTCCTGAATCGTAGTGCGTAGGATGCCGAACACGACAACAACACCACTCTGAGTATGAAAAAGGATATTCCGTAGAACCCTAGGATTATGCAGAAACCTAGAAATCCCTTTCTCCTATGATAGATGGTTCATACTTGCGACTATCAGCTGCTTGGTATTAATTGAATCGTACGGTACTTATATACATACACCCATACATGAACCGACTGTGGGTGTCTTACGGCGCCTGGCTGATATTAAGGTTAACTTATGTACTGAGATGAGCTACAGCGCCTAAGCACCTGTAGTGGAATATATGGACTTCCTATCTAGCGAGCTTGGAAGTTGAAGCTATAGCAACCAACAGCTGCGAGATCCAATGGCACGTTCGACGATTAGTTACGAGAACAGGAGCGGTGATTACGTAGATCGACTTGGCGATGCTCTACAACCTAGCCGTTGTTTAGTTCATGGGGAAATTATTTAATTAGGACTATGTATAGCTGCTCACTGCGCATTGCGCATTGAGTCAGATGGTATAGTCTTATCCAGCAAGTAGCAATAGCTCTCCACTGTTATAAGAGAACTCGAGAGCAGTATGGTACAGGTTGAAGGCCAGTATAAGTTGTGGAATACCGTAGTATTCAAGCCTGCATGACTATGAACTGCTTATCTGAACGTCAAAGCTACCAAGGCCGGTAAATGCATAGTGTACAGGAAAGCCTTGTGGAAGATACCATGTCCATTGTCTGCATTTCGAAGTTTCAGGATACGGTTCTAACTCCGTTTGTCATCTGTCCAGATATCTCGGATTTTCGTCGGGTCTGATTTCGCCCGCATCGTGATCATTAGTGCCTGATAGTATCAACAGGCAAGATGAGAAGCCGGGTCTGGATGAGAGATTAATGTTCCGGTTTCCAGGTCGAATGCCGCGTCGAGTACAAAATCGCGTGCACTGTTGGCTATTAGAGTGCGAGGCGAGAGAAGTCAACGGATATGTTATTGTCGTATTCAAAGTACAATTATTGTACCTAGAACGACTATTTCAAAGAAGGCGATGATCAGAGAGTAGCCTTCAATGTCGATAGAGTCTGGGGCGGTTTTTCTTCATTCCTCGTCACAGGCAGGATGTGATAACGTAGGCGGTATAGATAGGCACCATGTGTCCGACGTCTATGAGAAATTCGGTGACAGTGCTAGTGGCCTTGCGATTTATGTCATTAGGTGTAAACCACGCCTGAGTCGATGAATACGCGTGGCCTGAGGGTGGGGTAGGTCCAAGTAAAAGAGAATGGTCATTCAGTCTCCACACCTAAAGTGAATGAGAATTGGTATTGGAAGTGAGGAGGGGAATAAGAAACTCTAGTTGACATACCTGTGGACGTAAAATACTAAAGAGAATTCCGGAAGTGTCAGAACGGCCCTGACAGCGTGGAGAAAAAGTGATCAAGATGCAGAATGCTACCAGGTTTTGCCTTCCTAGTCGTGACTTTGTCAATCCCTAAGTGCACCTCTGCGGCATGTTGAATACAGGTCTAACGTAAGAAAACGAACGAGCAGTTTTGCATCGACGGTGACTAGTAAGTGAGATAGGCGGAAGAGTTATTCGAGGATTATATCCTCGGGACGGCCCGTCAATCGCTCTTTTACCGACCGATAGCGTTCATCAGGTTTTGTGGTCGTAATTTCCTTCGGAACAACGACGACGAATTCTAGCTTTCTTACCTTCACCTCCTTTCCGTCGTTCTTCTTCCACTCTTGGAAGCGTTTCTGGAGCTCGAGCTCAAACGCAGTAGGAAGGACACGAATCATCGCATTGCCTTCCCAGTTGGTTCCCGTAATGGCAGCCCGCATCAAGTAGAGTATCTCCACGTTGGGCCATGATCGCGTGACGGATATCCAGCATGGAGGAATATAGGCGGACAGGGTAGGGGATTCAGTTTGAACGGCCAAGAAACGAACGGCGGAGCGATCGGCATCGGAGTATCGGCGCCGGGCACAATGGCATCCGCGGCAAGCTGAGTGACATGGTTCGAAGATGACAATGTCATTAGCTGAGTTGAAGTCTCGGCCTGACCAGACGTTTAGGATGTAGTTAGGGGTCTGGATACCGAAACGCTTCTGGTAGTTATTTCGAGCAACCCACGCCGATAGACGACATGTCATGAACCACTTAGGGTATGGGTTATGGCGACCGAACATCGTCATGGTGTTGTGTACGGAAGGTCGGTTGCCGACGTAAGTTAGGCGCGGCTTGATTGCGAACTCCCAAATCATCAATTTAATCTCCGGCGGTAGCTTGTCGAATAGGTGGAATTCCGTGAGAGGCTTCGCCAAACGCGGTGAGCGTCGAAGTTTACGCAAGCCCCAGCCGGCGTCAGCTTTTAAAGTCCATCTCTTTGCCCTTTTTTGGACGGTCAACGCTAAACCCTGGGGGTTCTGGGTTGCCTTCTGCTTGCAAAGGCGAGCGGGTCTACCACTAGGCTGTCCAGCCTCTGGTTTCTTCGTGGAATGATTCAGGAGAGTGGGTGATTCAAGAGGTCGGTCCTGATCTCGGGTCTCCGCATCTAGATTGTCATCTTCAGGGTCGTTGACTTTTTCCTCAGGATCATACGTGACGTTGCTCTTCGAGTCCTCCAATGCGGATAGGTTCAGAGTGGGTAA